AAAAAAAAAAAAAAAAAAAAAAAGGACTGCATTTAGCACTGTATTACTTTAGCTTCATAAATTTTTGTGATTAGTGAAGATCTGCTATAATGAGAGCCTTTTTCTACTCAGAAAATGTGTATTATATCCAGTCACCATACCTTGGAGAGTTGCTCCTCTGACTGAGGTTCTGTGGACAGAACAGTCCCTCCTTGTGCCTTCATCTCTTCTATGTGTTTATTCAAAGAAGTTAATTTGGCCTTAGCATGAAGTTTCAGTTTTTTAATTTTGTTATCAGCAGCTTTTCTTTCTTCCTGTCAGAGAACAATGATGGTAAATACACAAATGTTTATTCATCACTTATCCAGCATATAACAAGTTATTCTCAGTAGGCATCATCTTAGACTAGTAGGGAAATAAGATTCTCTAATAATCTAAATGAAGAAAAAAATCAAAGTGACTGTTATGTCTTTTATCAAGTGCTTGGCAAGAAAGGACAATGGTACCTGTAGAATTTCATCCTTCTGCTGTAGTTGAGCATCCTTCTGTCCAATGATTTCTTTTAGTTCCTGCACCAACTGCTCTGCATAAGCCAGGCGCTCCAGAACATCCTCTTGTGTTCTATCATTAAATTCCATGTCAGATTCTTGGGGTAATTCCTGGTATTTAGATAAAAAGTTGCCAATTTACAAGGGAAAAGGTATCAGCTTCCAAACAGGAGGCCCTTCATTCCAACTTTATCTTATCTCTTGTCCAACTCATATCCTTACTTAAGAAATCTTTCCGAGGAGATGAGGACCCAGGGGCAGGGTATGGGTTGGAGGAAAGGAGGAGCCTTAGTTGTCAAGAATGGGGCTTGGCTTATGTAAATCTTGTAGCCTAGTGGTAAAATTCCCGGGGACTGAATGCCCTGGGCTGTGGAAGTCCTCCAGAGATGTTGGTTGGATATTATAATAAGAGTTGTTTGGAGGGGCTGAGATTTGTGGAAAAGGAGGGGGTGTGGAGGATGGTGGAGGGTGGAGGAGGGGGAATGGGTAGGGAGGGGGAGCAAAGTGAGCATGTGTGTACACTGTAAGCCATCTAAGGCTGTGCAGGGATGGACAGGGACACGCTCATACTTATCTGGCAGAAGAAATAAAAATAAAAAAATTTTTAAATTTTAAAAAGAAATCTTTCCAATAATTACCCAATATTAGTTATGACCCAATATTATTATTAACCAATAATTATTATCATAGCCATTGCAATATATATTAAGTATTTTGTAAATGTTAACTATTTTACAAACATTATCTCATTTACAGTCTTATCATACTAATTTTACCAAAGAGAAAAATAAAGGGAAGCAAAGATCACAAAACATTTAGTGGAAGAGCTCAAAATTTAAAATTAAGAGAGTAGCTGAATAAAATTCTCTTAATCACCAGGGAATACTGCTTCTCTTTCAAGAAAGTGAAAGGACTTTTTTTGAGTCCTATGTGACCTTCAAACAATACAATACAAACTATAAGAGAAGTGATAGATGAATTTACAATAGCAAACAGATGGTCCGAAACCCAAAAGGTGCTCCAGTTCCACCATTTGTTGTTTCAAACCTTTCCTGTGAAACAGGAATACATATCCGAGGAGTTAAAATAATCTAGCACTAAGTAAGCCCCAGGGGGACAAATGAGGACAATCTAATCTCATCCAGGACTTGATTCCCATCACTGTGTCTCATAGGCTACAAACTTACAGGAAAAGGATAATTTACAAAGTCTCAATATTTTTCTTAATCTTCTCTTCCACCTAGCACAAGGAAGGCTGCTCACACCCTTCTACCTTAAATTCTTGTCCTCAGAAGAACATGGAACATATTTCTCATTAGTTTAATTCAGAACAGAGCTACTCACAGGTTCTAAGGAAGCCCTCATATTCTCATCAGTTTCATCTCCTGATAATTCATGCAAAACAACATTTGCTAATCCTGACAATCGGCTCAGCATTTCTGCAAGAAAAGAAAACATAACAATCAGTCAAACAGATACATGCTTCTCCTATGATGGCAACTATCATTTATAAGTTAAATAAGAAAACTGTGCAGGTGATATATACTAGACACAGACTACATCAGGATGTCTTAAAAAAGGCATTTCAGTATGTACGCTGTAGTCAAACACTGTTCTTTTCAGTGACAACTACACAGAGATTTTAATCACCATCACTAATGTTTTAAAAATGAAATACAAATACATGATTGTTTAGTGGAAAACAATACACCTTACAGGTTACCTTTAATGCCTTTTCTTTCATCATAATTTCACTGGCAAACATGGAGTTCTAACTATTGCTTCCCCTGCCAGACTATTATTCACTTCTAATCTGTCATATACACCCCATAATTCAACAAAATTTTTCTTTTTTTTTTTTCTTTTTTTTGCGGTACGTGGGCCTCTCACTGTTGTGGCCTCTCCCGTTGCGGAGCACAGGCTCCGGACGCGCAGCCTCAGTGGCCATGGCTCACGGGCCCAGACGCGGGGCATGTGGCATCTTGCCAGACCGGGGCACGAACCCATGCCCCCTGCATCGGCAGGCGGACTCTCAACCACTGCGCCACCAGGGAAGCCCCAAATTTTTCTTTTTTATGTGCCTCATGAACCTGTTCTTTCAGGAAGCTTTCTCAGTAAACCATGTGGTTTCACTAAAATTTAAATGTAATTCTTGTTCAAAACATATAGCATTAAATGGGTACATTAGAAAAAAGGAAGAATGACTAAAATCAGTAACCTATGCTTCTTCTGTAGGAAACTGGAAAAAGAAGAGCAAATTAAAACAAATTTAAGCAGAAAAAAGAAAATATTAGAGCAGAAATTAATAAAATTGAAAATAGAAAAATAAAGAAAATCAGCAAAACTAAAAGTTGATTCTTTGAAAACATGAATAAAATACATAAAGCTCAGTCAGACTGACAAACAAAAAGAGAGAAGACACAAATTATCAATATCAGATGTGAAGCAGGAGAGAGACATCACTACTGACCTACCATACATTAAAAAGTAATAAAGGAACACTACAAATAACTCTATACCCATAAATTCATCAACATAGATGAAACAGGCCAATTCCTTGGAAGATAACAAGCCACCAAAACTCACTCAAGAACTGACAACCTGAATACACACACACACACACACACACACACAAGCACACATACCCTTTCTCTCTCTCTTCCTTTTTCCTTCATTATTTATTTAATCATTCATTCAGATCAGTGTCACTTGTCAGTCCATAAACTCCTTAAAAGTGAGAATATTAACGTTTTGATAGGAAAAATCAAAATAAACTGGACTATCATAGCATTATTATAAGCAATTATGCTGAGTGACAAAATATTATTCGGCTTTTAAAATCCTCAGCAGGAAGAAATGTAAAAGCTATTGCACAAAATAAGCACTTGAATAAAACTAGTCTCTGCTATTCCACGCAGTAACAGTGTTTAGGGCAGCCATGGTCATTAATTAAGAAATGGCAAGACCTTTGTTTCTATAACAGGTTACTTAGATAAGCAGCATATAGCATTTGGAAAAGACGTGTGAAACAGGAAAGGAAGAGAGAACCACTAGAAGGGCAACATAGGATCATATATAATTACATATATAATTACTGAAAGGGAAACACAAAGTCATATATAAGTGCATTGTGACATCATAATCAGTCACTCATCAGGTTATGAGACTCACTACAGTCAGCTAAAAAACAAACAAAACTCACCAGGACACAGACTCTAAACTTTCTTTTTAGCTCTAGACATTCAATTTTCTATAGTAATCATTAATGAAGGAAATTAACACTATAACTAAAGAGTATTTATTAGGCACAGAAATATGTACTAATCAAATAGTCATAGTAGAACCTAACATATCAAGCAGAAGCACTTTATCTTCAAATTTTTCAGACACTGTTGGGAATAAGCAAAAGGAAAAAAAAAAAACAACCGATAGGACTCTGAGAAGATGGTAATAGCAGACAGCATAGCTTTTGGATCTTCCTAAATTCCCACATAAAAACAGACGAAGCAATTAAATAACAAAATTAAAAACCCATGGACAGCCTTTACCAAAACGAACAAGAAAACAAATAAAATGAGGCAAAGTTTCCCACAAACTCCAAAATAAACATGGATATAGAAAAAACACCAAAAGCCACAAGATCTGTGTATCACTGTCGTCCATGCAGGAGGAATAAAGGGAAGCAAAGGGTAGCAGAATGTGCCACTCACTCCAAAATATGTCACTTGGCAGAAGGATTATTTTGAGCTAAAGCACTTGAAAAACAGCAGGTACAAGTAGGGTGTGCTGATCTCCCATTTTTCTCCCTGAAAGGAAGAGATAAAACACCCATATGGAAGATGTTCTCTCTATACCAGGAAGAAAAGTAATATTGTTGTCTCCAGGGATGGGAGCTGAAGCCAAAAGAAATCTGTAAAAACAAACCTTGTAAACTAACCCTTATCTCCCAAGTCACTGCTCTATGATTAATGACCTCCTTCTGTTTTCTCATTTTCACAATTTACTACTGTTTGACCAACTCATTGTATAGATGTTAGATTCTAACTGCTTCTTTGGGTCTTCATTTCCTTATAAGGGCTCCCATGCCACATAAAACTGATATTAAATAAATCTGTATGCTTTTCTCCTGTTAATCTTGCCTATATCAATTTAATTCTCAGACCTAGCCAAAAACCCTTAGAGAACAGAGGCAAAATTTTATCTCCCCTACAGAAACTGTAAGAGCACAACAGACCTAATACCAAGAGAACCACAAAAATTCCAGTGGGTATTCACTGGAAAATGTGTCCAGCCAATTCAAGAACAGTAGCTGGAAAAGGGAAATGCATCCCCACTCCAACAGGTAAGTACAAGAAACCTGCAAGGTCTGAAGTGGCTAAGGCAGCGCAGGCCACATTAATTCTCCAACCGAAGAGCCAGGGCTCTTTTTCAGAATAGGGCCTCCACTGAGGAGAATTTTCTGAGAGTAGAATGAAAAATCATCAAGACAGAATTAACAGAGACCAAAGGAAGATCCATATAAAGATAAAATGGGGTTGGTAGGAGAAGAGTCAGGAAATCTCAGAAATCCAGCTGCCATATATTTGAACAATAGTGGAAAACATAAGCAGAAGCTCTGTGAGGTTAGAAAAGCTATGCAAAATAAGTATTCTAAAAGTTCAGCAACAGTAAATAAAGATGCACAGCTTAAAAGTAACACAATCTCCATACAGTTATTATAAGGAAAATGAGCAAAACAATATCCATAAAGGAAATGGAAGCATGTCAAAGAGCCATTCTCAAATACAATTCAGAACCATAACCTACTAAAAAGAACTGAAAGGCATTAAAAATTATTAAGACATGAAAAAATATACATCAGAAGTTGAAAAACCCAGGAAGACAGCAAGAGAAGAGAAAGGAACAAAGGAACTATAAAATAGTGAGAAAACTATTAACCAAATGACAATAATAAGTCCTTACTTACCTTTCAATAATTACTTTTAAAGTAAATGGATTAAATTTTCCAATCAAAAGACATCGAGTGGCTGAATGGATTAAAAAAACAAGATCCAACTATATGCTGTCCACAGGAGACTCACTTGATCTCTAAGGATACACACAGGCTGAAAGTGAAGAGATGGAAAAAGATATTCCATGCAAATAGTAACCAAAAGAAAGCAGGGGTAGCTGTACTTATAACAGACAAAAAAGACTTCAAGTAAAAAACTGACCGAGAGGGCTTCCCTGGTGGCGCAGTGGTTAAGAATCTGCCTGCCAATGCAGGGGACATGGGTTTGAGCCCTGGTCTGGGAAGATCCCACATGCCGCGGAGCAACTAAGCCCGTGAGTCACAACTACTGAGCCTGCGCGTCTGGAGCCTGTGCTCCACAACGGGAGAGGCCGTGACAGTGAGCGGCCCGCGCACCGTGATGAAGAGTGGCCTTCACTCGCCGCAACTGGAGAAAGCCCTCGCACAGAAACGAAGACCCAACACAGCCAAAAATAAATAAATAAATTTATAAAAAAAAAAAAAAAAAAAAAAACTGACCGAGAGACAGAGAAGGTTTTTACATAATGACAGGGGAGATCAATTCATACATAACAGGATATGAACTTGTAAGTCTACAACAGGATATAACACTTGTGAATATATACGCACCCAAAATTAAAGCACCTAATTATATTTAGCAAATTTTAACAGAATTGAAGGGAGAAACAGGTAGCAATACAATAACAGTAGGAGACTTCAACATCCCACTTTCAACAACGGATAGATCATCCAGACACAAAAGCAATAAGGAAACACTGGACTTGAACAACACGTTATACAGAAAAGACCTATCAAACATATATAGAACATTCCATCCAACAGCAGTAGAACATGCACTTTTTTCAAGTGCATATGTAACATTCTTTAGGATAGATCATATGTTGGACCACAAAACAAGTCTTAACAAATTTAAGAAGATTGAAATCACACTGAGTATCATTTCTTAACACAATGGCATGAAACTAGAAATCAATAAAAAGAGGAAAAATGGAAAATTCACAAACGTGAAAATAAACACTCTGAAAAACCAACGGGTCAAAGAAGAAATCAAAAGGGAAATCAAAAACTATCTTGAGACAGATGAAAATGAAAACATGACATATCAAAACTTATGGGATGTAAGTCTAAGAGGGAAGTTTTTTTTTTGTTTTTTTATTATTATTATTTTAACATCTTTACTGGAGTATAATTGCTTTACAATGGTGTGATAGTGTCTGCTTTAAAACAAAGTGAATCAGCTATACATATACATATAACACCATATCTCCTCCCTCTTGCATCTCCCTCCCATCCTCCCCAACCCATTGCTCTAGGTGGTCACAAAGCTCCGAGCTGATATCCCTGTGCTATGTGGCTGCTTTCCACTAGCTATCTATTTTACGTTTGGTAGTGTATGTATGTCCAT